GCGGGGGGGCGGGAACCGGTCTGTCGGTGGGTTCCGACCCCGCGGGCGGGAGCGCCGCCGCGCTTCCCAAGCGGCGCACTATCCAGTGCGCCACTGGGCCGGCCCTAAAATGCCACTTGTAAGCACCGACTTAAGTGGGATCCCGGCTCGGCTAAGCCTTCCTTTCTGGCTCCTTCCAGGAAGTTCTAGGGATTGCATGTGGTGAGGTCTCCTGGGGGCCCTGCTCCCCTCCCACGTGAGGAGAAGAAAGGAGTGTCCAGGACGCCCCTTTCCCTGGTGGCCCCCACTGCAGGCTCTGGGTCTGAGCATGAGGCCTGGCTGGGGAGCTGCCTGCTCTCAGCCTCTGTCCTCTGCATCTTGGACACGTGTTGTCCACACTCCCAGCTGGCAAAGTTCCTCTGGCTTAACTTTTCTCAGGTAGGGCGTAGGAGCTGGGACCTAGGAGGAGGGGCCCGAGGCCTGGCGACAGGGCAGCCGGCCCTCCTTGCCTGGTCTCTGTGGTTGCCCAGCGACTCCTGTCTCCGGCCCGAGCTCCTTGATGGCCTGCTCTGTGAGATCGTCCAGGCTGCCTTTCTAAAGTGGCCTCCTCCTAGGAGAAGCAAGAGGCAGATTGTTTCAGCCGCAGGGGTGGTGGCTTGTCCACGCTCCCAGCTTTGCAAGCTATACTCCCTTCTGAGACCTGTCCTGGGCCCTCAGGATGGCCAGGCCCTCCCAACCGGGTGTGCTGTCCCTCTGAGACAGAACCTGTGAGGCGTGGGAGCCCAGCCAGCCCTCTCTGCTCCCTCCCCTCGCCTCCCCTCCCCTCCCACCTCCTGCGTGCATCCTGAGCGCTCGCTCGTGACTAGAGAGGGTTGCTTTCCTGAACTGGATGTGCCAAGATTCCACCGAGGCTTTGCTGTGGGCTTTTTTAGATCCTGTCAGCTCCCGAGGTCTTGGCAGAACCAGCCTGGACAGAGAACCAAAAATAACTCCCTGCCTGGAGGAGGTGGGGCAGCCTCAGCCGCGTGGGCCCCGGGAGCCGTGCCCACAGCCAGTGGTGGACGAGCAGGGTGCACGGGCCAGCTGCACCCTCCCTGCCCTCTCTAAGCCAAGTGCGACTTTTGCATCTAAGTCGCAGGTTTAGGTCAGTAGGGGACAAAATGGGGTGGAGTTCAGAGCAGGATGTCTTTAGGGAAGAGGGTCAAGCCAGTGAAGACGGTGGGGAGCAGAGGGCTGGCATTCCAGGTGGAGGGGGCGGCAGGGAGAGCTGGGCTGACCGGGGCATTGACCTGTCTTCTTCACCGTCTACGTGTGACCTGGGGGACAGGTGTCTGACCTCCTTTGGGGGAGGTCGTCCAGCCAGGACAGGGCCTGCGTGGGCTTGGGACAGAGGTTTAGTGTGAGTCCACGTCAGGGATGGCCCATCATGCTGACCGAGGACTGCGAGGTGGCGGGAACCCCAAGGTGCTGTTGGACGGAAAGCCGGCGGCCTTCCACCTGAGCTCCCCAACCGTGACACCTGTGCGGTGGCGGTTCCTTTGCACTTTCCTTTAGACAACTAACAACCACCGTCCCTGGCTCTGTGGTGGGGAGCCCTTCCATGGGAAGCTCGCAGGGGCAATAGTGTCTTAGTGGACGCTGGCCTCTCTGGGTGGCAGGGAGGACCTGGGAGGAGGGCGTTGCTGGGCTTCTCCTGGTTCCGGCCCAGTTCTGAGGGGGCTGCGGTCTCCTCAGGCAGCCTGGGACCCCCACACCCCCAGGTCAATAGGCACAAGGGAAGAACCGGCCTGAGGGTGAGGGGTGGGGCCTGGCCTCAGGCTCCCACTTCCCCAGGCTCCCCACTCCTCCAGATGAAGCCCTTTGCGAGCCCCCAGCCCGAATCTCCAGGAGGCATGTGGGGTGGAAAGTTGGTCCGGACTCTCACGGGAAAGGCATCTCTCATGGAATTCCCCAGAACCCACCCAGGTTCTCTTACTCCTGGTCCCTGTAGGCGCCGGTCATCTCGTCCACCACCTCTCTTTCCTCCCACAGATGGGGCACCTGGTCAGGACGGGGGGCTGGCGCACAGTGTCCCAGCAAGCCTGCCTGAGGCCACGATCACCAGGCACTTTCTCGCCCGGCCTGCTGCTACCAGGAAGCCTCGAGCCCTGAGGGAACAGTGTCTGTGGGGGGAAGGACACAGTTCCTCCTAACATGGGCCCATGGGAGTAACTGCGGAGAAGAGACAGGAGGGGACAAGTAGCTGTGGAATTCCTTTCTTCAATCTGGGCCAGAGGCGGCAGCCCTGGGAGCCGGGCCTCTGGGACTTTGGGGCAGGGCAGTGGACTTGATGGTAGTTTGGGTGCAAGGCCGGTCTTGCTTCTCCTTGCAGTGGACCCTCAAAGCTTCAAAGCCTCCTGCTGCCCAGACGTGCTGTCCCGCCAACAGGAAGAAAAGCCTTGGCTCTGGGCTGGGTCGGCAGGTTTCCTCTTTCCAGTTTTGTAGGATGCTGCTAAGGGGCACACTCACCCCACTTTAAGTTTGGGGACAGCGTGGGGGGGCAGCCCTGCTTGCTTTGCAGGATTGCCCTGGCTAACCCATGGTCCCTGGATTAAGTCACAGACACTCTTCCATGAGCGCCTAGATCTTCTCTGTACTTTGCAGACTGCCGTGTACATATGTGAATGCGGTGGCACTTCAGGGGTGCCACGCAGACCTAGGAGGTCACACACATGTCTAGCCTGGAGGGAAAGGGAGGCGTCCTGGAGGGGACCCTTTATCTGCAGGTCTCGGGGAATCCAGCTCCTGGGGCTTGGAGGTTGGTTAGAGTCACGTATTCTGGAGGAGCTGTGTGGCCGTGCAGACAGGTTGGCTTCTGGGCGGAGGTGTGGGATTTCTGCACAGGGTGGGTGTAGCCACCCGGGCGGGGGGGCTGTGGGCTCCAGCTCAGCCCTGACTGAATGAGGGCCGGCCAGGGTGAACACGACCCTCGCTGCCCGTCCCTGGCCACCATCTGTGAGATGGGAGGGCTGCTGAGCTCACTGCAGGCTCACGTCCATTCTGGTGCTCAACGTCCCAGCCCCCCAGCCCGGGGCTCCTCGTCCAGGCAGCAGAGACGCTGTCACCCTTGCAGAGAACAGCTCGCAGGCTCTCCGGGCAGGAAGGCAGCCCGGCCTTTCTCCTGGGCACCGAGGAGGGAGTGCGCTCTCCTGCAGTGAGGTGGGGTCCTGGGCTGCCCAGGTCGCATTGGTGCTTCACGGAGGAATCCGGCCTTGGGGCAGCGCCTCAATGCGAGCCTGCTGCGCCCGGTGCTGGCCGGCGTCCCACTGCATGGCCTCCGACGGCCTTGGGAAGTCGAGCTGCTGCTATCGCGTTGCCCAGGGGAGAGAACTGAGTCCTGGCGAGGCTGGTCCCTCCTTGCAGAGGTGCCACTCTGCTCTGCACTCCCGTCCCCAGGCGCATGAGGAAGGGTGAGACCCTGGAGAGCGGCCCCTCCTTGCTCTGCCCTGCCTGTCCTGGCCTCAGTCTCTCTCTGTTTTGGGGAGGGGGTGGCTTCTCTTGCCTCTGGGGCGAGGAGTGTTGCCTGTGAGGGCACCGGCGTGACAGCTGTTCCGCAGCACCCTCCCTGGGCAGTTGGAGTGCAGGCAGCTGTGGGGTGGGGGCCAGGCCCTCACTTTCCTGAACCTCGCGTGCTCTTTTCCAGCTTGTGGCAAGCTGACGGGCATAAGTGACCCCGTGACCATCAAGACCTCCGGCTCAAGGTTTGGGTCCTGGATGACAGACCCTCTGGCCCCAGAAGGTGATAACAGGGTAAGTGTCCCCTTATCTTACAAGGGGGTCATTGGACAAGGGGGTTCTGATGGGACATGGCAGGCCCTGGTCTCCCCATCTTCCTGGCCCACCTGCCAGTCAGACCACTCCAGGGGCTATGGGCTGGGCAGAGCCGGATGTCCCTGGGGGGTTTGTTCCTAGAGAGACTTGGGGGAGGGGCCCTCTGATAACTCAGAGTCACAGACCATGGGGGGAGATGACATGAGGATGGTGGCAGCAAATGACAGAGCTGGCAGACCCCTTCTGTGCCCCTTCCCAGGCCTGGCTTCACCCCAGACCTCCCAGCCGGCCTCTGCTGCAGGGGAGTCCTGTTAGGCCTTCCCTGTTTTAATGAGCCTCGTTAGTGTTTCATTTACTGTTCTCTTCATGGCTGATAGAAACCTATGTTCCTCTTTGATTTAGGAAACAGTCCGTGTTCTTTATCCTAGGCTTTTCCCCCCGGGTAAAACCTCAGCAGAGGAGAGAGAAACAAGCACTGCATCTGCCTTGATCTGGGGGCCTGGCTTTCTTTGTTTGCAGCCCTTGGGGCGACAGGGAGGTGAGGGGTGGCTGCCTGAGAGGGCAGCGCCGGGCCCGCTCGGCCCCCGGACTGAGTCCTGTGCTGCACCTTTGGACAGCATTGGTCCGGAGCCCTCGCGGAGGGTCCCAGTGGAGGAGGGAAGCTGCTGGGGCTTTTGCTGCCCTGGAGGCTCCCCGCCGGGGCACAGCCCAGAGGCCCAGAGTGTCTCTCGCCCAGCCCTCTTCCTGCAGGGGTTTGCAGGACCTTTAGAAACAAACACTTAAAAAACTCCACTCTTCCTCTGGGCCGATTGAGGAAGAGTCTGAAATGTGAGACCCTCTCCGCTTTATGGGGAGCATTTTTAATGGACGTGTCTGGATCGTGTTCTCTCTCCGGAGGTTTCTGATCTTTGTCTCCCCCTTCGCCATCTCCAGCATTTAGAAGGGGGATAGGGCGTGATCTCTTACATTTGAATCAGGACGTGGCATGGTGCTTCCGGCACCCTCTCTCCTGCAGAGATGGGGTGGGGAGGACGAGCTGGCTGTCGTGAGCCTGTTTCCTACTCACAGCCCCGTGGGCGAGGCTGCGCCGTCCCACCAGCCACACGCCCAGACCCCGTCCCAGTGTTGGCTGCTGGACAGTGCTGGAGGGGCCGGCCAGACTGCAAACCTCGGATACGTTTGGGGAGGGGTGTTTGTGGGGGGAGAGGTTGTTTTTGTCCTGTTTTCCGAATTGTGGCAGCTGTTGCTTGGAAGTTTTCTAACTCTTTGTCTGTTGCTCTGACCGTCCTTCTATCCCTCACCCCACCTGGAAAACCTCACCTCTGTTTGGAGTTGGGTTGGAAACTTCCATTTGCAGCAGACGTTAATAATAATATATGGTAATGGTGATGATAATAGTTATTATCATTATTAAAATGATGATGGTAATAATACAGAAATAAAGACAGATGACGGTGTCAGACACTTAGAAGGCAGGTCCTGTGTGCCTGGGCTGGGCTGGACACTTTGCTTCTGTACGTTAATTCCATTCGTGTAGTTATTATCATTATTAAAATGATGATGGTAATAATACAGAAATAAAGACAGATGACGGTGGCAGACACTTAGAAGGCAGGTCCTGTGTGCCTGGGCTGGGCTGGACACTTTGCTTCTGTACGTTAATTCCATTCGTGTCAGAGAAAGTGACAGTGGCCGTGGTGCGGCCACACTGTGTGCTTTATCTGGAGCACTTGGCATGCCCTTCTTGGTCTGGTCCTCTCAGTGACCCTCCAGTGTCGAGATCACCTTTATCTCTGCTGAGTTGATGAGAAGACACAGTGTCCTCACCCCAGGGGTGTCACATGCTGTGCCCAAGGACACTGACAGGCTGGTTGGCAGTGTCGTTGAACTCCCATCTACAGTAGGCACTGACGTTCCACGCAGAAGCTCCCGAAACCTCCCACGTGCAGTCCCGCCCACCCTGTTACACAGAGCAGGACAGCCACCCCACAAGCCCATGTGCACTGAGCTGGGATTTGTGAGCAGGAACTGGTTGCCTGGGGGGGACAAACCCAAATCTGGAGTATTCTGCCTGTATCTAATACTGCAGATGTGCCTCTTGGCTCCTGTTTTGATACTGGTCTCCTTTGTCCTAGAGAGCACTAGTCAAATTATCTTTTTTCCAGACACCAAGTGTCCGGGGCTCCTGGAGGCCCGGGCTGTTTGCTCTGTATGGTGCAGTGAGGGTGTGTCTGGCAAAGCTGCCGAATGCTCATGGGTGCTTGTGATCGTTAGACATCTATTCTCTGTGTGACGACTCAATCGCTCTCCAGGAGAGGAAGGGGGGGGACTTTGTGGGGAGCTGATGGCACAGGAAGGGAGGAGACGGGGTGCCGGGTGGGCAGAGGCTTCACGGGCACCTGCTCTGAGCGCTGGGCTCTGGCCTTTCCACCCCATGCGCTCAGCACGGCTGCCCGCATCTCCCAGACTGCTAAGTGGCTTGTCCTCAGGTCCTGCCATTGATCTGCACCAGTGTTGTGTTTTGTTTTGATCTTTTCCAATCTCCCATCTGATTTTGATCACACACACACAGGAGGCCAATAACTCGATCAAAAAAAAAAAAAAAGGAAAGAACTTGATGCTGGCTTCAGTGCAGCTGCCACGAAGGGCATTGTAAGAAGGGCATGGCCAAGCGGGGAGGGGAGAATTGCAGGGACCCCCTTGTGGAGGCCCCCTCTGGGAGACCTGCAGCTGCGCCCATGTGAGCATGGGAGGGACTGTCCTGAGCCGGCCTCCGTGTCCCTGCTACCTTTGCACTGAGCTGTCAGAGCGAGGTTCTCTGGGAATGCTTTTGCCTCGGTCCTTCCTCTGCTCATTTATTAAGCACCACTGTGTGCCGGGCACTCTGCTGGGCACCGAGGCGCTCCCACCGTTCTCTCAGCCCTTCCTATCCCTCCCGTGGCTGAGGCCTGCCCCATCTCACCAGCCGTGGAGGAGGCGAGGGCTTCACGGGGTCGGCCGGGCTCTCAGGTGCGAATCCACTGCCAGGCTGGGCCCACCCCCCAGGAGACCCCTGGAGCTCCAGGGACCCCATTCCCTGTCATCAGACATCAGAATGGAACCAGCACTACCCTGTCAACACCCCCAGGAAGTTCATGTTCAGAGGGGTGGTGTAATTCCCGAAGCGATGTCATTTTACAAACAGCAGTGTGCTTAGCTAAGTGCTTAAAAGTCTTTCTGTCATCTGAACAGTGTGAAAGCCATCCAGATATTTTATAAGGATCCTACAGAATCTTTTCCTGAAGGTCAAATTATCCAGAATGCACTAGACTATGTGGGTGGGGTCAGCACAGGACCTGCAGCTCAATAAACATGAACGTCCCTTCAGATCTTTTCTCTGCAGGAGCGGGGACGTTCACAATCTCTCTCTGCTCCTTTTCAACCTTTCCTGCCCCAGTGGAGCTTCTGGCTAAAACCACCGGCGTCTTCCACCTCCCTGTCTCCTCCCATTCAGCCAATGGCTCCCTTCGGAGCATCTTTTCCAGTGGCCCAGGCTCCTTGATCTTAGCAATTCTAACAGGAGGACGTGTGACAGGTGCTCACCAAGCCATTTAGCCAAGGCCCTTTAAATAGCACCCCCACTCTCGACCTCCCGTGGCTGTGTCGCATGTGTTTCAAAAGGCGGCGCCGGATTTAATGCCGAGACAGACGCCCCTCGCCCTGTTTGCCCTGGACCGGGATGGCCCCCTCCGCTGAAAAGCAGATGAACATAATCGGCACAATTAGGAAAATCCCATGTTCCCAGTAAACTCAACCGCGTGGAACTGAAACGCAGTGGACGTGCGGGGGCACCCAGTTTCTCTTCCACGGGGAGCAGCGCTGGGCATCCTGTCTCAGAGAAGCCCTGTCCCCTGAGAGCACAGCGTTTCCAGGCGCACGCATGCTCATGTGAGCAGGAAGAATCGGTCCTTTGCTTCGTTTTCTCTTTCCTGGTGAAGGGACCCTCCTGGGTGGGGGAGGGGATGTGGGCAGGGACTCGGGACCAGCCCCTGAGGCAGGCAGGGGCAAGGAGCAGAATGTCACAGCCAAACTTTTCAGAAGACAAGAGTCGCTGTGAGGGGCGGCGAGTTCCCAGGGCCCCGCAGCCTGTGTTGCAGAGTTAGGAGAGGCTCTGGTTGGGACAGGGCTGGCCTCGCTCACCAGAGGCCCTCGGGGGATGTGTATGTGGCCCTCTGCCCACCGACTAGAGAAGGACAACTGATACGGAGACCCCACGGCCCGTCAGGAGGCCTGGGTCCAGGGTGGACCGTGGGGGCCAGCAGTCTCGGTCCTTTCCTGCCCTGTTGTGGGGAGATATGTCACGGGGACATTGGGGACATCCCATGGGTCTCACCGGAGGGTACCCGCACAGAGTCCCTGTGAGCAGTGTGGCCCAGAGCCCAGCACCAAGGTTATGGAGCCTCTTAGAACTGGAGTCTGGATCTCCCTGCTGCCCTCACCAGTTCTGTGACCTTCAGGACATTCTTAACTTTCTGTACCTCAGGGTCACGTCCAGGGGTGCTGGTACACCCAGGACGGTGGGCACTGAGCACGCAGATGCCGTGGGGCCACCAGCGCCCCACCACCTGCGGGCAGCCCGTCTAGCTGGTAATGAAGAGTGACTCAGATAGCCTCTCCTGTGCACTGAGAGAGGGACGCACACGGGCCACTGACTTGCCAAGAGGGCTCAAGGAACAAATGGCTCCCTGCAGCCCCTGCCCCTTGCCCTGTGGACTCTCAGCTGGGAGAGGCTCTGCCTCCTGCTGCCCCGTCCCATGGGCTGCACTGTTCTTGCCTCCAGAATGTTCTCTCAGGTCCTCCTGTCCTGTGCCTGCGGACCCTAAGATTGTTCCAGCAGGAGGATTTGTGCATGGAGCTACGGCCCATGGGGAGCTCTGACCTGAGGTCATGCTTTAGGAGCATAGAGACTGTGTCCCCAGCACCTGGAAGAAGGGAGCTGC